TTCGGAACTTTAAGACTTGTGGACTTCAACTCCCAGAATTCTTCAGATCTATGCCATCCCACCTACCACTTCTGAAGGCCGGATGGTCCACTGTTTAATTATTCTATCGTGAAATGTCCCCTTAATTTCCAGGTTACTTCTCTCCTTGATTAGTTTCCACCCATTGCTTCTTGTCCTGCCCTCAGGTGCTTTGTAGAATAGTTTGACTCCCTCTTCTTTGTGGCAGCCTCTGAGATATTGGAAGACTGCTATCATGTCTCCCCTGGTCCTTCATTTCATTAAACTAGACATCCCCAGTTCTTGCAACCGTTCTTCATATCTTTTAGCCTGGAGTGGTGTAGGGTCTCCTGCTTGAGCAGAGGGCTGGACTAGAGTAGAATCGCAGAGTTGGAAGGGCCCTTGGAGGTCTTCTAGTCCAACCCCCTACTCTGGCAGGAAACCCTACACCACTTCAGACAAATGGCTGCCCAATCTCTTCTTAAAACCCTCTGGGGTTGGGGCATTCACAACTTCTGGTGTGTTCCAAGCTGTTCCACTGGTTAATTGTTCTGACTGTCAGGAAATTCCTCCTCAGTTCTAGGCTGCTTCTCGCCTTGATTACCAATATCAATCAGAATAGAGCTGGAAGGGCCCTTGGAGGTCCTCTAGTCCAACCCCCTGCCTAGGCAGGAAACCCTATACCGTTTCAGACAAATGGCTATCCAACATCTTCTTAAAGAATTCCAATGTTGGGGCGTTCACAACTTCTGGTGTGTTCCAAGCTGTTCCACTGGTTAATTGTCCTCACTGTCAGGAAATTCCTCCTCCGTTCTAAGTTGCTTCTCTCCTTGATTACCAATATCAATCAGAGTAGAGCTGGAAGGGCACTTGGAGGTCCTCTAGTCCAACCCCCTGCTCAAGCAGGAGACCTTACACCATTCCAGCCAAGTCTTTTTAAAACCATCCAGTGGTGCATCGCCCACAACATCTGGAGGCAAGTTGTTCCCCTGGTTGATTGTCTTCCCCATCCGGAAATTTCTCTTCGGTTCTAAGGTTGCTTCTCTCGTTGGTTAGTTTCCATCCAAGGTCCCTTCCAGCTCTGTTCCGTTTGAAGCCCCCGAGGAAGACTGCCCTTCCTTCCTTCCTCCCAGAGGGCCTCTTCTCTGCTGGCGTCCCATAACCTGAGAGCATCTTCATGCCTTGGGTGGCACAACTCCCCATCCCTTGGCCCAGGTCACGATCCTGGCTTCCTTCGAGAAGCTGAGGACCCTCCTGGGCCTTGGGGGTCCTTCTCCTTTAGCTTTGTTGGTGTGCATCGAGCAGATCCTGCTTTGCAGCTGGCGCTCGCTTTACGACCACAACTGATCCCCCAAACATTGATGCTAAGCAAGACAGGCCTTCAGTGGTTTTTTTTGTTCCATTTTACAACCTTTCTTGCCACCGTTGTTAAGTGAATCAGGGCAGTTGTTAGGTAGTTAAGTGAATCGGGCTTCCCCGTTGACCGTCAGAGGGTCGCGAAAGGGGATCACGTGACCCCGAGACACTGCGACCGTCATAAATGTGAGTCAGTTGCCAAGAGTCCCAAATTTGACCATGTGGCCATAAGGATGCAGAGATGGTTGTTAGTGGGGGAGTCATTTTTTCCAGTGATATATTGTAACTTCCAATGGTCACTGAATGAACTGCTGTAAGTGGAGGACTCCCTGCATTCCAGGACAGCCAGGGGAAAAAACATCCAGGGTTGAAAGAAGCTGCCCAGAATCACTTGGGATTCATGTAAATTTAATAACTGGGCTAAACTACATTAAAATTAAACTAAATTGAACACTAAAGAAAAGTAAACTAAACCGAAGCCAATGAATGAAGAAAAGACCCCACTTTCCAATCTCCAGACTACTCACGAACAGGCAGGTGATCTAGTCAGTTGCCCGGCTTACCTGCATCAGCTCCTTCTTCAGCTGGTTGGCCCGGGCAACGATGGGCCCCCGCACGGCGTACTCCACCATCCGGACATGGGGGTTCATGGACTCCAGAGTCAGGACTCGGTCCTTGGGCATCGTCCGGCCGTCCGCCATGCCCGGCTGCTCCGCCTGTCGCCGCAGCGCCCTGAAAGGCAACGGAGGTTCGGGGCTGAGCAAGGGGGAAGCCAGGCAGAGGGGGCCCCTCACCTGGACCCCGGGGAGCCTGCTGCTCAGGGCGGCCCTGGCAAAGGGGAGCCCCCGCATGAGCCCCAACAGCTGCTGCAGCTGCACGGAGATCCGCTGCTTGGGATCCTGGCTGGGGGAGGGGAAGGCGGGATCCAGTCCACAGGTGGCTAAAGTCTCTCCCTTCCCAAGTGGCTGGGGATTTGGCGGGAGGGGGTGGGGGCTCCAACTCAACCAAGGGGAGGGGCAGAGGCAGCCCTGTCCTTTCCCAGCCTTGGGCTCAAGGTTCCCCTCCCTCTTGGCCCTCTTCCCTGCCCCACCACACGCCCCCCCAAGCAAAAGGAGGGACCCACCGATCTCCCAGGCAAGCCGAGCAGCTGCTCCCACATGGGAAGAGAGGGGAGGGCGCTGCTCCTTTTAACCAGGGGTGGGTGGGGGGCGGAGGGAAGAGCCTGGCCGGAAGAAAGCAGGGCTTTGTGAAGGCGCCTGAAAAGATTTGTCCCCCACACCGGCCAGACCAACAACGACAACGGGAACAAAGCCAGAACGGGCTGTACCACCGAGGCTCTGCCTGCCAACTGCGGGAAAGATGCCCAGGTGGCAGAGAGGGAGGGAGGGAAGGGCTGGCTGGCTGCCTCGCCCTCACTTGCACCCGGGGGGAAGGGGCAGAGGAGGGATGCCAAGGCTCAGCCACCCGCACCCCCAAAACTGGCTTGCTGGCACTCTAAATCTCCCCCCCCCTTAAGAACAAGCAGCATCTGGGCACTGCCAGTTGCTTGCAATGGCTCACTCCCAAGGGCGTGTTTTATTTGTATTTATATATTTTTTGTTCTGCATTAGTTGGATTGGATTGGATTGTACAGAGATTCCTCAATTTACAACAGTTTAGTGACTATTCAAAGTTACAGCAGCACTGAAAAAAGTGACTTATGACCAGTTTTCACAGTTACGACCGTTGCACGCGATCGAAATCCAGCCAGTTGGCAGCTGACCCACGTTTATGACGGTCGCAATGTCTTGGGACCACGAGCAGATGCCCTGCAGAGGAGCTGAACTCCAACCCCCCCCCAGAATCCCCCCGGCCTTGCTGGGCTTCTGTGGGGGGGGGCAGATTCCACCCGCAGCCCCTCCTGTGAGGGATGGAGGTCCCAGGGGGGCTTTTCCCAAAAGGCAAGTGGGCTTCCTTGCTTCTCTGAAAAACCTTCGCTTCTCCTCCGAGAAGCTTCCTCTGTTCCTCGTTCAGTTCTCCATGAACTGAAGAAGTTTCCTGGATGAGAAGCGAAACCACTGAGAAAGAAAATCCAGTTTCCCTTGGGAAAAAGCCTCTTTGGGACCACCTGGACGATGGAGAATCTCCAGAGAGATTGAGGGGTGCAAGGCTGCATCTAGAGGCCCCACCTCCCCATTCTGGTGGACACCCACCCCCCTTGCATCAAACACAGCACGGGATCAATCAGCCAGAAGAGAGCTGGAAGGGACCTTGGAGGTCTTCTAGACCAGTGTTTCTCAACCTTGGCAACTTGAAGGTGTTTGGACTCCAACTCCCAGAATTCCCCAGCAGTGGTTAGGACAGTGTTTCTCAACCTTGTCAACTTGAAGGTGTTTGGACTCCAACTCCCAGAATTCCCCAGCCAGCGAATGCTGGCTGGGGAATTCTGGGAGGATAAGGCCGGACCTCTTCAAGTTGACAAGGTTGAGAAACACTG